GATGATAAAATTAAATCAGAACTCCGCAAACCCTTGGCCTAATGGGGCGTAGCTTGGACTAATGGAAAAATTGAAAGTTAGTTCAGAGCTCCGCAAACCCTTGGCCTAATGGGGCGTAGCTTGGACTTTTTGCTGCTGGACTTGCGCAATCGCCAGCGTCTTGGCCAAAGTATCCCGATCATGAGCACTACTGGCTCATTCTCCAGACTTGCTGAAGCCAACTCTCAGGAATTATCTCATAAAACACAACCACCATGTGACCCGTAACTTCAAGTGCAGACCTCAACTGCGCAGCCCTCCAAGAATGTAGCACTGGCAAGTACCCCTCACAGCTCGACTCCCCAACCATGACTACGAGGCACAAGAACGACCTCAGCATGAGAAGGCGCTGCACAAGCTCATTGAGAGACTCCCCATCAATGCTGTAACCCAGAGGCCATTGCATGAATCCATGTTCAACATTGACCCACATCGCATAATACTGCCCGACTATGCCCGGAGAACATCGTCTACTGATGCACACATGCTGAATCCAAGGAATGTTCAATTGAGACGGCCGTCGCCAATTAGACCCAGGTGTAGCATACGCATACGTGGCAGACAGCACCTGTAGATTTAGCAGATGTATACCGGCATCATGCCAACTCCCTCGATCAGAGGCCAGCTGTGTCAATACAGCATTGACATTGTGCAAGTTCGACGGAAGCAAGGGAGGCAGCTCGTCTTGGAACAATTGCGCAGCCATAGCATGCAGCCACGTTAGATGTGTATTCCACGGACCCTTACGGCCTTGTGTGAAGTCCCTGATGCACGCAAACAGCGCCACACGCACAAGATGATCAGGCTGTCTACGAAGCAGGTGCCCAAAACAGTTCCATTTTCTCTGCAAGAATAAATGACACCAAGAGAACTTAGGCTGAGCATCCACAATGGAGTAAACAACACGCTTGCGAAGGACATGTAAGTACATAGCCGTCTCCCTGTCAACACAATCTGGAATGTGCAACTTCATGAGTTTACCCAATATTATATTCTGTATGACTTTGAGAGTTCCTTCTGTTGACTGATTGGCATCCAGTAACGGCAAGTACCACGCAAAACGACTGAAAACGTACCGATTGCAAAAGACAAGGCAGTGGTGGGGAACCGACCAATGTAAGTGTCGATGGATGGAATGCAATTCGCTGTATGCTTGCTGGCTGACACCGACAATGAACTTCAGGAGATTTGCGGAGGATGATTGCGAAGCCTCATCCCAATGACGAAAGATCTTGCACAAAAACAACGCCTGAGTCTCCCAGTCACACTGTCTGACCAAGGATTCCTCATCAAAGTCTTCGCGGGATCTTGCTGCAAGCAAACTAGCATGGCTGACAAATTTTGATTTCTGCAAGTTGAGGTTCAGCTCGATTCTTTTAAGCTTGACAACAAGCTGCTTGCTAAGTTTGTCTGCTTGTTCCCAATCATGAAAACATAGGATGAGATCGTCTATATAGGACCACAAGAACAGTCCATGTAGATTTGATTCCCCGCGATCGGCCCATTGCTGTTGAAGCTCATCCAAGAGTGTGCCAAGAGTAGCCAAGAAAAGAATGCTTGAATGGGCAGCCCCCTGCTGGATCCCCTTGGTCTGCTCAATGCTGATGGCCTCTCCTTGCCACTCACACTTGAGGCTGACGTCTGTGACTACTTGGAGTAGCCTGGCAGCTTCCAGAGACCTAGCAGATGATGTCATCTTCCTGACATATGATGCCAGCGCTGCGTGACTCACACTATCAAAAGCACAGGAAATATTTGAATTGAACCAGATACTGTATTGCTGCATAACGGACTCTTTGTCGAAAAGGCAAGCAGTCGTCATGACAGCGTCAAGCGGCTGACGTCGTAACTGCCATCTCTAAGCTCAAGAATGGGAAGTCTACAGGTATGTCTGGACTGTCTGTGGAGTTTCTGAAAGCATTGTGTGACCACCAGGAGGCGGTTGAGGCCATTCGGTGTCATATGGACCTTCTGCTCAGAGACGGCATTGTTCTGGAAGACTATGCGTCCTCGTTTGTCTGTCTCATTCCCAAGCTTGAGGTGGTTACACGTGCGAAAGATTTCAGACGGGTCAACCTTGTAGAGACTATGATGAAAGTTTACACAACCATCCTCACAAAAAGGGTGACCGGTACTTGGCTGCAGCCTAAGTGCCAGCTCGGGGGCCTGCCTGGCTTTCTTCATAAGTGACGTGGTCAAGGAGATACTCGTTCGAGACGGAGAGGAGGTCCCCAACAATGGTATTCAGGTGATCACGGTCACTGTCTGGATCGTCTGCTGAAAACAAGGAATGGAAGTGCTCACGAACAAGCTTCGACGCGGCTGTGCTACCGCCTGCATTGCGTAGAAAGGGTCCTATTTGGGATCTAGATGCCGCCTCCTGCGCAAGTACTTCACAGCTGCACAGTCACCACACGATGCTTGTTTCTCAAGATTGCCCCACCACTCGGCCCGGCACTGCAAACGCTTGCTGACTATGAGTCTCGTCAACCTGGATTTCTCATTGGGGTTTACTTCAGCCCTGCGTAGAGCACAAAGAGACTTGATTTCGTCACTATCGACATACTTGAGGGAAGTCATTCTGAAGGAAACATCATTCGAGACTTTTCTCAAAACCTCCCACTGCGATTTAACATCCATGTCATCAAAGCGGAAAATTCCAGATGCTACCCGACGTTCTACCATGTTCTTGTTGACTTGGTATACTCCACATCTTTTCCGGGCTCTTGTCCTCTGTTTTGGTTGTGGCCGCCTAATAGAAAAATTGAGCTGCACTGCTGAATGATCGCTTCCCAATTGCAATCTGTGTTGAGGATCATCAGCGACCACAGCGAGGGTATCCAATGAAGCCACTGACCTGAAGCTATCATTGATGAAGTAATAGTCTAGCTCCGCTGACGATTGAGTGCCAAACCTCGTGTGCATGCCTCCCCGCAATGGTTGCAAGCCGAGATCACCAGGGCTGGCATCAAGCAGGAGTGCCCGTATGCTCTCTCGGTCTGCATTCCAATCTCCAGCTAGAAGCAAACATTCCCTCCTATGCATGTTGATGAAAGAGAGAAGGTCACATAGAGCATCCTCATAGTCTTCCATGCTATTGTCATTGTGTGGAAAATGCACGTTAACCAACCAGTGTTTGGAGGAATCCTTAGCAATAACTCTGGCTGCAATGAAGCGTTTTCCCGAAAAGGTTTGATCCATATATTCCAGGAAATCCTCATGAATAGCCATCACCTGTGCTAAGTGAGACTCCACGTCACTAGTACCCAAAATTGTGTACCCTTTGTAAAGATGTGCCATTGACGGCTCCAGTAGCACCTCCTTGAGAGGCCCTGGACACTTCTGCTCCGCACGCAACTGACTGAAGCCACCAACCTCTTGAAGAAAAAAGGATAATAGGATGTTATCTCAGCCCACTCACCTTAATGGAAAAGGTTCTTGCCGTGTATATTCCAGGTGCAAAAGGACATGTCCAGCTAAAGAGGAACAGATGAACACAGCTCGGCTTGAAGTGGCTTCCTCGATTGTCAGTCGCTTTGAAGTGAGGCTTCCACATCTGCTGCAGTTTTACCTACTTCTTTGCTGAGCAAGGAAATGTTATAGTGAAACGTGATGTGGTCCTCCCCATCAAGTCCATCTCGCCTGTGGATTACTCGATGCTCTGGATCAGCACGTAGGTCTTTCTGTACCCCTGCAGCCACCCTAACATCCCTTAGCCAGATGATCTGCTTGCTCCAATCGGTATCGAGGTTATTAATCAGGTCCGGATTTCCATCACAAAGCGAAGTAAGTCGCTGCAACGAAGTTCGCGTGGCCTTATCTCGAAATCTCCTAGCCAAAGTCTTGGAGGCACTCATCCAAATCATTTGTCCTGAGGAGCATGGGTGCTTCTCATTGTACTTCTGGCGTAGGTCAAAGAAGCGGGACTTGGCCTGTTGGAAGGGAAGATGCGAAAGGTATAGATGACAGATTTGATGTCTTTTGCCATAGACCTCCACTCGAGAGATGATAGCGGAGTCTTCAGCTGACCATGTGCCTGTGAAAACACCAGTCTCCCTCTCAATTACTGCCTTGCGAGTGTCCTCCTTCCACCCTCCTAAGATCAGGTGGTTGAAGTCCACTTCCGAATCATGGACGGCAGGGGGAACCCTATGTTCATGAGCTGGTGATTGAGAATTGGCCTGATGTCTCTCATGTAGACCCACAGCATGGGAACTAGGTCCTTGCTGCATCTGCTGCTGAAGCGCCTGAAGCTGTAGCTCAATTCTGTCAATCCTGGGGTCAGATTGCACCGGCTTTCTCTCCAGAACGCGGAGTCTTTGGTCGATGCCCATGAGATTTGGCTGAAAATTCCCAATCGTCTCCGTGAGGGCTGAAAGCTGACTTCCCAACTTGTTTTCAAGTCTAACCAGCATGGCCTCTGAGCTCTGACTCTGGCGACGTATCATAATGTCCAAAGCTTCATCAGGGTTTAGATCACGAGTGGTTGGAGAAGGTGGGGTTGGACTTCTCTCACGCTTCATCACAGGCTTCATTCGGATCTGAAGATCCGGCTCACTATCATGACTGCATGGCTCGGTACTCATGAACCCTCGAAGGCACGGGAGCTTGGACTAATAGGGCGAATCTCGGACTAATGGGAAATTTGAAAATTAGTTCAGAACTCCTCAAACCCTTGGCCTAAGGGGGCGTAGCTTGGACTAATGGGGCAATGATAGAATTAAATCATTGAAAAACGGTAGATCCCAGAAAAGAGCTAAAAAAGGAACCAGGTCCGTTTGGGGTAGAATGAGCAAAAACCCATAGTAAAACCA